GGGCAGAATTTTTTGAAGAAATACAGTTATTTTGAGCCATATATTTTATAAGGCAAGTAAAAAATTGGAAATGCCAGTTTGTTAACTTTTAAAAACTTGGTCCAAAATAATGAACTGGGCATGGTGACATGTGCCTGTAGTCTCAGCTACTTGAGCGGCTGTGGTGGGAGGACTGCTTGAGTCTGGGAGGTCTCGGAGGCTCAAACGATCCTCCCACCGCAGCCGCTCAAGTAAGCCATGTTTGTGCCACTGCACTGCAGCCTGCAGCCTGCCTGACAAACTTATCACCTAGTATGAAGCCCATTAGAATAGCATCCATTAGCTATTCTTCCTGATGTTCTGTGTCCCCTTGCACCCTCCAACAGGCGCCAGTGTGTGTCATTACACATGTGTCCATGTGTTCTTATTATTTGGCTCCCACTTGTCAGTGAGAACATGAGGTGTTTGGTTTTCTGTCTCTGAGTTAGTTTGCTGAGTATAATGGCTTCCAACTCCATCCATGTCCCTGCAAAGGACATGATCTCATTCCTTTTAATGGCTGCATAGTATTCCGTGGTGTATATATACCACATTTTCTTTGTTCAGTCTATCATTGATGGACATGTAAGTTGATTCCATGTCTTTGCTATTGTGAATAGTGCTGCAGTGAACATACGTGTGCATGTGTCTTTATAACAGAATGATTTAAAATCCTTTGGGTATATACCCAGTAATGGGATTGCTTGATCAGATGGTATTTTTGCTTATGGATCTTTGAGGAATTGCCACACTGTTTTCCACAATGCTTGAACTAATTTACATTCCCACCAAGAGTGTGAAAGCATTTTTTTTTCTCTGCAACCTTGCCAGCATCTGTTTTTTCTTGACTTCTTAATAATCTCCATTCTGACTGGCATGAGATGGTATTTCATTGTGGTTTTGATTTGCATTTCTCTAATGATCAGTGATGTGGAGCTTTTTATCATATGTTTTGGTTGCATGAATGTCTTCTTTTGATAAGTGTCTATTCATGTCCTTTGCCCCTTTTTAATGGGGTCATTTGTTTTTTTCTTGTAAATTTGTTGTAGCTCCTTGTAGACTCTGCATATTAGACAATGTATCCATTTGTCAGATGGATACATTTCAGAATCTCCCATTCTGTGGGTTGTCCCTTCACTCTGATGATAGTTTTTTTTTGTTGTGCAGAAGCTCTTTAGTTTAAATAGATCACATTAGTCAATTTTTGCTTTTGTTGCAATTGCTTTTGACATTTTTGTCATGAAATCTGTTTCTGTGCCTATATCCTGAATTGTATTGCTTAGATTTTCTTATAGGGTTTTTATAATTTTGGGTTTTACATTTAAGTCTTTAATTCATCTTGCGTTAATTTTTGTATAAGGTATAAGGAAGGGGTTTAGTTTCAGTTTTCTGCATATGGCTAGCCAGTTCTTCCTGCACCGTTTATTAAATAGGGAATCCTTTTCCCATTGCTTGTGTTTGTAAGCTTTGTCAAAGATTAGATGCTTGTATGTGTGCAGTCTTATTTCTGAGTTCTCTATTCTGTTCCATTGATCTATGTGTCTGTTCTTGTACCAGTACCATACTGTGTTGGTTACTTTAACCTTGTAGTTAGTTTACTTTAACCTTGTAGTGTAGTTTGAAGTTGGGTAGTGTGATGCTTTCAGCTTTGTTCTTTTTGTTTAGGATTGTGTTGGATATTTGGGCTCTTTTTTAGTTCCATATGAATTTTAAAATCATTTTTTTCTAATTGTGTGAAGAATGTCAATGGTAGTTTTGTCATAGGATCCTTGGGTTTTTGCTTTTCCAGACAGAAATCTCTGTGGCTGGTAGCACGTTTGTCTGAGTTTTGCTCTGGCTTGCTGTCCTCATTCTGTCTACTCAGCCCAGCAGGCTATGCTTGGCTTAAGCTATTGGCCCAGATCCCATGCCTGCCAAGGTTGAGCCAGGCACAGAGTGGTGATGAGTGCATGAGCAAGCACAGAATCTGGCCACTGCACACAGCCAGGCATGCCGGTTGCAGTGGGGTGGGCGGTTCCAGGTACTGACACAGGCGCCAGCTTTGTATAAGAGTGTGGTTTGACCAGACGTACTGCAGGCAGCTTCCGCTGCAGGCACTGTGGAATGCAGTGGCACCTGGAACCTTGGAGATACCAGGAACTGCACAGTCCCAGAGAGGGTGACACAGCTCTGGCTCAGGCAGCCTGTTTGTCTGGGCTCCCCAAAGGGCTGTAGCTTTTCTCTCCTTTTCATTGCCTGCAACATGGCAAGTGAGGTATGCGTTTCAGCCCTGTTTGTGTTACAGCTCTTTCAGTCCTGCTATTTGGCAGGTCCCGAGTTCTTGTTCCATGTTCAGGAAGAATGAAGCATGTAGAAAACTGGAGGGTGAACAAGGCAAAGAGTTGCTTTATAATTATAAGTGACAGTACAGCTCTTAGGAGACCCAAATTTGGTAGCTCGTTTCTGCAGGCAGGTCATCCTGATGAGTGCAGCTCTCATTAGAGAGAAGACTCAGAGTGGGTAGCCCCTTTTCACAGGCAGGTCATCATGTTGAGTCTGTAGCCCTCAGCAGAGAAGAGAAATGGAGTGGGTAGATTCTACCCACAATCAGGTCATCCTGATGTCTGGGTAGCCCTCAGTGGAGAGGACATCTTGAATGTATAGCTCCTATCCACAGGCAGGTCGTCCCATCATCTGCCCGAGCTTAGCTGAGTCTGAAGTTTTTATGGGTTTCAGAGGGGAGGAAGTATGTGCAGATTGGTCCGTGGGTGGCCCTGTGTGGGCCTGGAATAAGCACGGTAAGTTCTCACTTCAGTCCGTGAACAGGGAGCCCAGACCCCAGGCTTATGTGCCTAGCTTGAAGGTGGGGCTTCACCAGACACCTGCCCCTTTTTGCCCGTCTACTCCCTTCCACCATTAACCTGCCATCCACCACGTCCATGGCACCCAGGCTGTTCACATCACAGGGTGCCTGCGGGCCTGTACCAAGCTGCCCCCAGACCCCTTTTGGCCTCCCTCCCATGCCCATTGGTGCCCAAAGTCCAGAGGGGGCTGAGGTAGTAGGGGACCGGTGTGTCAGTGCTGCCCTAAATGCATGCACTCCCAGCCAGGTTGTGATAGCTTCTGGGCTCAGGCACAACTTTGCTCTGAAATTGGAGCAGGCATTGGGAGCAGGGAGAGGCCAGGCAGTACTAGCAGGCACTTTCGAGCCTGTGGTGGGAGAGGGGGGCTCTGCAAGCCCTGAGAGTGCAGGGATGCCTGGGTCCATAGCTGGAGCTGGGTGGCCATAGCTGTGCCCAGGAAGCACAGGGCTCCCACCCCGCCAACTCTGAAGGAGGCATGGGCTCCTACCTGCTTCCAGCCCCCAAGAGCACAGGGATGCCCCACTCCGGACAGTCACGCCTGGGGAGTGTGGGCCCTCCACCCTGCCAACTCAGAAAGAGACAGGGCTTCCACCTGTTTCCTGCTCCCACCAGCTCCATGGAGTGCACAACCCCAGCCATGTCTCCCCGGTTGCAGCTGGTGTTTCTGCAGAGGCCACTGTAGACAGTCACTGCCGCCATCAGTTTACTGGGAATAGCATTGAATCTATAAATTGCTTTGGGCAGTATGGCCATTTTCACAGTATTGATTCTTCCTATCCATGAGCATGGAATGTTTTTTTCATTTGTTTGTGTCCTCTCTGATTTCTTTGAGCAGCAGTTTGCGGTTCTCCTCGATGAGGTCCTTCACTTCCCTTGTTAGCTGGAACACTTTCTTAAGGTGATCACTTTGAAGGATCAGACTTAGCTAGATGTACAGATTCTGGTAGTTGGAAGAAGTCTTTTACCTATGGCTGCATAGTATATGAGCATGTCTATAGCTGTTTGGTCAAATAATTAAGCATTGCTCCCCACTTAAGATGTTGTACTGTTCCTATCTTTTTCAGTTCATGTTCTGTTTAGTGTTTTCCATTATTTCCTCTGCTTTCAGCTTTCGTTTTTTTTTTCCTTTTTCAAGTCATTGATTTAATACCATTAATAGTAAGAGCCGATTTGAAGTTATTTATTACTCTAAATTCCTAGGCTTGTCGTGTTTATGTTGATAAATTAATCAGTCATTCTCACTTTCTTTTTCCTCTTTAGTGGCTCAGACTCACAAGAATTAGTTACTCTGTATGTGTTGTGGATGTCCTCAATACTTTCCATTTATTTTAAGCATTAGTTTTAAAGTTTACCAAGGCTAGAGAGAAAGATAAGATGGGCAATAACAAATAATCAGCACCGTCTGTTTGGTGGCTATTTTGTTTCTAATTTAAATAGTTAACCCTATTTTTCTTAGTTGTCTTCTGTTTTCTCCATGCAGAACTAAATAATCTTTCATTTATTTCATTATTTTTGAAAGGCTTTATATGGCTTTGGCTGTTTTTTCTTAAATATAATGGAAATTTCATTGGATTTTATGGCCAAAGACATAGTGCAATACACTGATTTCCTATTAATGTTTAAAATTAAGATCTTTCTGTTTTAAATAAAAGATTTTCTACACAAATAAGTAAAGGCAATAGATAGTAAAGGCAATAGATAATATAACTTCTATGAAATATTTATAGAACCAATTTTTGTTTATGAAAAACAGATTGTCTTTTTTTTTTCTACTTTTACCGTTGTATAATCTCTGTTTATTATCATTGTTGTATTTATCAGCGCCATTTCATATGGAAAGATAAAATAAACTATCAGTTTTTTAGTTGTTGCTAATAAGAAAAAGCCAAAAGTAATTTCTCATGAAGCGTTTTCCTGACATGATTATATGTTTATAGTTGAGAATGATACCTTAGGTAAGAAGCATCAATGTGGTTTTTTATCCAGTGTTATAGTAAATGGAAATTAGTAATTTGATATTAATTTTTAAGAGCTTTTTTTTTTTTGCTATAGATATAGTTTGGTTCTTGAGTATAGTTTATAGTATCTGAACCATTTTAAATTCCATCTACTAACTGATTACTTTTATTTTTTTAATAGTGAATTTATGGCAGAAGAAAGTAATGAAAAATTTTGGCAGTTTTTGGAAACTGTGCAAGAATTAGCAATTTATAAACAAACAGGTAGGTGATGTACAAATTTTAACTTGTAAGATTTGTATTTATGTGTACACATTATGTTATTATTATTATTATTATTTTTTGAGATGGAGCTTCATTCATGTTACCCAGGCTGGAGTGCAATGGCGTGATCTCGGCTCACCGCAACCTCCGCCTCCCGGGTTCAGGCAATTCTCCTGCCTCAGCCTCCTGAGTAGCTGAGATTACAGGCACGCACCACCATGCCCAGCTAATTTTTTGTATTTTTAGTAGAGACGGGGTTTCACCATGTTGACCAGGATGGTCTCGATCTCTTGACCTCGTGATCNGCTAATTTTTTGTATTTTTAGTAGAGACGGGGTTTCACCATGTTGACCAGGATGGTCTCGATCTCTTGACCTCGTGATCCACCCGCCTCGGCCTCCCAAAGTGCTGGGATTACAAGCTTGAGCCACTGCGCCCGGCCATGTTATTATTTTTTAATGGTAATGGTTAAATGTGAATGCTTCACTGGGTTAGTAATCTGAACATTAAATTTGAAAACATGTTTTAATGGAAACCAGTCTAAGCATCTGTTTCCAAAAATAGAAGGCTTTAATACTTTATTATAAGATAATTCACAGTCATGTTCGGATATTGCATTCTCATCAAGAAGAAATCAAAATTGTTAGCTTAGCATGGTGGTGTGCCTCTCTGGTAGCAGCTACTTGGAAGGCACAATGCCAGAGAATTGCTAGAGCCCAGGAGTCGGAGACTTGCCTAGGCCGTATAGCAAGACCCTGTCTCTTAAAAAAAAAAAAAAATTGACCAAGTGTGGTGGCTCACACCTTTAATCCTAGCGCTTTGCAAGGCTGAGGCAGAGGATTACTTGAGCCCAGGAGTTTGAGCTGTGTTTGTGCCACTGCACTCCAGCCTGAGTGACAGAGCAAGACCTTGTCTCCAAAAAAAAGAAAAAATTGTTGAGATATGGTTTTCTTTTACCTAGATTTCTTTGAAATAATAATTTTTGTATCTAGTAATAGTACATTTTTTTTTTCTCTTTTAAAAGTAGACTTAGTTTTTTTGGAGCAATTTTAAGTTCACAGAAAAATTGGACAGAAAGTATAGAAATTTCCCCATATGTCCCCTTCCCTACACATAAATAGCCTTCCTTGTTATCAACATCCTCCACTAGTGTGGTACATTTATATCAATTGATGAAACTACCTTGACAGATCCTTATTACCCAAGGTCCATAGTTTACATTAGTGTTCCCTCTTGTTATACATTCTGTGGGTTTGGACAAATGTTATACATTCTGTGGGTTTGGACAAATGTGTGCTGACATGTATATTGCATTTTATTGGCAGAATACTTTGACTCTTAAACCACTAAAGAAACTTTTAATACTCTCAAAAAGTCAGGTAACTAATATGCTGTCATTTCACTATCTGTAAAACAGTAATTTCTGTTTTTGTATATATATGAGAGTATATACCCATATATACATATCTCTTCCTCAGAATTAAAAAGTGTTTATTAATGTGTTTCTTAGGGTAGGTAAGTAGCTTAAAGGTAAATTTGAAATTAAATTTTAACAGCAGAGGCTTTATTGTAAAGAAAGGTTTATTATTTTCCTATCTCTACAGAGACTAGAATAGATGAACATGGAATTGCTTAAGAGTGAAATCTTTAGCCATTTAGATATAGAGAGATCTTCTTACTGTTGGTAATTAAAATAGTTTATTATTTTGTTCCTAATTTCAGATGTTTTAAGTGTCCATTTACTGAAGCCTATTTGGCTCAAGCAGCATTGAAGTTCAGCAATTTTGTGATTTTACCAAGTAGATTTTAAAAACAAAGAGATCAGACATCCTTTTAATAACATTTTAAACTGAAATATTTCCAAAAAAATAATTTTTCCTTTCAAAATTTTTTTCTGAGAAAATTTTTAGTCATGAGAAATGCTTGCACTACTTTTAAGATGGTGGGAATACGAAGATGAGTAAATGTACATTCTTAGGACTTCAAAATATAATGAAGGAGACAGCAAAACAGTAAAGTACACTATTAGGTGATAAGAGCTTTAATTGGGGTGTGTACCTGGTTCAAATTTTGCCTCCTAAAAGTATTCTAGATACACTAATTATACTTGGCTATTGGCACTAAATCTCAGTAGAATTTATTCATACAGGTACTTTAAAATTTATTAACAATCATGTTCTTTAACTTTTCTGCTGTTCTTAATTTATGCCTTGTAGGTAGGACTAATATATTATACTTGTAATATAACTCCACAACTTTGGAGTAAGTTGGTCTGAAATGCTGGTGTTTCCAAATAGAGTTTAATGGCAAGATTGTTTTCACCTGGTCTCATGTTGATTACTTGGACATTACTGGAAGATCCAAAATGAAGTTGATTATAGAACTGAGTTCTTGATTTTTTCATTTTTCTCTAGCATTATCCATAACCAACTTCAAAGATGATTATATGGCATTAAGTCAGCTGTATGGTGGAAGATGTACCAATCTGTCGTGTATAAAATACTAACATTTTTTTCTTTTGACTTTTTTTATAGAATCAGATTATTCTTATTACAACTTAATCCTGAAGAAAGCTGGACAGTTTTTAGACAATTTACACATCAACCTCTTAAAGTTTGCTTTCTCTATAAGGGCATACTCTCCAGCTATTCAGATGTTTCAGCAGGTGTGTAAAAATACCCAAACTGTATTTGACAAAGAGGCACATAGCCATGTACATAGAGCTCTTTAATATGAACATCTTTAGTTAAAAATGATCTACAAGTTTATAGTTGGTTCCATAGCCTATCATTGATTATATTATTGTTGTCATTGATTATAATTGAATATATTCTGTAATTTTAATAGTTATTTGGGATAAGGAAATTATGAGGACAAATCATTGAAATGAAGTATCATAAGATTTTAATAGAATTTTTTCAATAACTTTGAAGTGTGTCTTTCCTAGGATAAAGTTGATTTTATTAAAATATTTCTTAGATTCTACCTACATATAGATGTTTTTTACTTTAATTAGAGCAATAACTTAATAGTAGTTGATGAGTTATTTTAATCAAAGTAATGCGTGAGGGTTTTAAAATCATATTGTAATTATCAACTACTGTAGCTAAATATAATCTTTGAAATCTTAGATTGCAGCTGATGAGCCACCACCAGATGGTTGTAATGCATTTGTGGTTATCCATAAGAAGCACACCTGTAAAATTAATGAGATTAAAAAGCTGCTGAAGAAGGCTACTTCAAGGTAAATAATAGCCTATAATGAAAGAAGTGGCTATATAGACAGAGGAGAGTTAAGTAGCAGAAGCTTCTTATAAAAAATTAATATTCTAAGACATTGTATATTTAATAATATGTTTTGTATTGAACACATTAATAAATCAGAGAACATTTTATCTTGATTAACTTTTGATTTTAAAATATAAATTTTTCCAGAATAATATAAAATATATCAAATATGTTTCATGTAAGCATAAATTGTTTTGTGAGCTAAACAGGCAAAGCTATGAGTTTATTTGATCGATATCTCTTTAAATATAAACTGAATATATACCTAGGAGATAACAAAGTTAATAATCAGAACAATAATATATATGAGGTTGCTTTCTGTATTCAAAACTACTTTTTTGCGTTTTTGCAAATATTTAATTCAAAAATGGCAAGTCAGAAGTAAATTATTAATTTGTTAGTGATTTTTTTTTTACAGAGTAATATATCACTGTATTTTTGTTGCCTGATTATACTTTGAAAAGTAAGTTTCTTTAATTTTGAAAGAGCTCTATTAAATGGTAATATATATTTATGCATATTAATACTTCTTTCACTTGTTAAACCTTTTCTAATACTTTCTTATGCTTGTATTGATTTTAATATACAAAAGGCTTTTATTTTTATGTAGCCAAACTTTCTTGTGTATGTAACTTTTATACTGTTTTTATAATAACAGTTTTTCCCAAACCCGATTGGGAGATATTACTAATTCTTTGCAGTAGCTTTCTTGAAGTTTTTCCTTTTATTTTACATTAAATTTTAATCTGTTTATAATTTATTTTCATCAAAAGGTAAGAATCCATCCAGATTTTTTTCCTTAGGTAGTCAATTGTATTAATTCTATTTATATTATATTCCATTATCAACTTCTTGTAGTAGTGCCATACTGTTTTAACATTTATCGCTTTATTATCCAGTTTCTGACAGAATGATTTCTTCTTCATTGTGGCTGTTTTTCCTCCAGAATGCCTTCGCTCCTTGTATTTACTGATGTTTCTAAATTAACATTAGAATCCTTTTCCTTTCCAAGTTACCCACCCCCAAAATCTCTGTTAGGGTTTAATTTGAATTATGGTAAAATTATTGGTTAATTTAGGAAAAATTTACATCTGTGTTATATTGAATCTCTTATCAGATAACATTGTAGGTTTCTCTGTTCAAATCTGTTTAAACTTAAAGGCAGAAATTATTTTATCAACATTTTTTCTTCTGAGATGTATACAAAGTTTTTTATTGGACATACTAATGTGTTGTAAAATATTTTGAAATATTATACCTTCTTTTCAATTCTGAGGAAAACTGATTAATGTTATGGTATATTAATAATTAAGATTATTAATATGTGGGATATTATCTTAATAATTAATGATGTGGGATATTTCTGAGAAAAACTGCTGATTAACAGTGTGGGATATTACCTTAATTTACTTTTGAATTAAGATTGCTTTCATTTTGTTTGCATGCTTCTCTTTTAATAAATGAATAGCTGTAAATTTATTGAAATTATTTCACATCTTTGATTTTATCAGTCTTTCTACTTTCATATAGTGAATTAGGCACCATATTATCCTTACCGTAGATGAGTTAATATGGCATAGGAATTATCTATTCCTTTATATTATTAGACTCACTATAAAATTGTTAGCACTAGTGGATATTTTTTCCTTTCCTAGTGCATCTTAAAGGACATTTTGTAATGTTTAAAATTTATTGTATTGTCATTGGTTTCTGATGTCAGATATTATAATTATTTATAGAAACTAACATATCTTGAAGATTACAAACAAATTAACATCAAACTATTAGGAAAGGCAATCTACTATGGGCCCTGTGAGTCCTTGCATGTTCTTTCTTGGTCTCACCAGTAAAAACTGTAAGGTCCTGACCACTCTTTACCTGGACCATTTCTTAGGGTTGTGTTTGCAGTGAGTAACCTTGAGGAATGAGGTAATGGTTGCCTTTGGGATTGGGGGCACGGAGCAAGCATGTTTTATTGCTTGCTATAAAGCAATGCTTCCCCAAGCCTGGTGTTCCCTTTTTTTTTTTTATTCTCTGTGACTAAAAATTTATTCAGAATACCCCTCTATCTTACTCCTTAATATACAGGAATGACAATAGTTATTTCAAGAGGAAGAGGCTGGTGCTGCAGCTCATGCCTTTAATCCCAGCACTTTGGGAGGCCCACGTGGGCAGATCATGAGGCCAGGAGTTTGAGACCAGCCTGGTTAACCTGATGAAACCCTGTCTTTACTAAAAAAATAAAAAATAAAAAAATTAGTCAGACATGGTGGCAGGTGCCTGAAATCCCAGCTACTCTTGAGGCTGAGGCAGGAGAATCACTTGAACCCGGGAGGCAGAGGTTGTATTGAGCCGAGAATATGCCATTGCACACCAGCCTTGGTCACAGAGTGAGACTCCATTTCAAAAAAAAAAAGAAGAGAGGGCAAAAGCAAATGATTCTTCTTCTTTTTTTTTTTTTTTTTGGTGGGCCGTGCGCAGTAGGGTGCTATGCCGTGCACAGTAGAGGGTCGTGTACAGAAAAGGGGTCCACCCCCGTTAGGTCACCGAGGCAAGGAGGTGGGCTGTGTGCAGCAGGTGTTGTGTGCACACTTTTTTTTTCCTAAAATAATCAGAGGACTGTTTATTTCTTTCTTTCTTTCTTTTTTTTTTTAGAGGAAGAAAGAGAGAAAGAAAAAGAATAATTTTAAAAAAAAGAATAAAAGAAAGGAAGAAAGAGGAAGAGGGAGAGAGAACAGGGGTGTTGCTTTATTGCCCGGGCTAAAATGCAGTCTAAAAATGGGTATGCCTGTAATTATATTTGATAATAGAGACATTAAAAAAAAAAGAAACAGGGAAGAAAATAATTAACAAGCAACCAACCAATATTTCATTTAAACCTGTAAATACGTGTGATGTAGTACTGATAAGAGTGTATATTTTGTGTATTTAAAGTGGAGAGTTCTATGAATGTTAATTAAATCTACTTGTTCCGGATCTGAGTTCAAGTCCTGAATATCGATGTTAACTTTCTGTCTCATTGATCTGTAAGTCTCCCACTATTATTGTGTGGGAGTCCAAGTCTCTTTATAAGTCTTATATATCTGGGTATTTCTGTATTGGGTGCATATATATTTAGGATCTTTAGCTCTAATCGCCAGAAGCCTGGTGTTCCTTAACTGAAACATATGCCAACTGTGTAGGATCCATCTAAGTTTATATTTGTCACCCCTGTGGGACTTTGGGGGCAAGCATAATAATGCTCATACTGCTTGCTCTATGTCATGAGCAATAGAGTCATTTGTCTTTGACCCGAGAGTCTTATGTCTTCTGTCAGACTCCATAAAAGAATAAAAGGCTAACTTATTAGTTTGTAAGTCAGGTAAAATGCCTTAGACTTTCACAGTTCTTGATAGTTTTGGAGACTGTCATGGGTGGGATGTTGATTGACACATGGCGTCTGGAAAAGGAAGGACAAGGGCCCATGGGTCAAGGAGGAAAAAGGTCAACATTTACATTTCTTTCCACTGCCCACCTCTTTCTCCCTTTGCTCTTGGTGGGTGATAGCAGCCTCCTGATAACTGTGTTGTAGCCCCAATACATGTTCCTTGATCTGTATTCCTAAAGGAAAAGGCACTCAAACTTTAATTATTGTTTTGGCTCTGATTACATAACTGGTATTGGTATTTTACATGCTTACACTGTGAATGCTGTCAATGTTTGTGAAGCTCAGGGGGAAACACTCTCCTTCAGGGACTACCATATCGACATTCTTGGGTGGTATAGCAGAAACAAAGAGTCAATCTCAGGAGGAGAAATGACAATCATAACTTTATAGACTTCAAAGCTGCTGGACTACCCAGAGAGACCGTTTCCAAGTACAATAGTGCCACCTGCCTGACTCAGCCACTTAGTACACTCCTTTTTAAATGCGCAGTTCTTAAACTGCTATTAAGCTTTTATAAACTCAACACCTGACCCATGGAAGCCATGTGACGTTTACATTTTGACATTAGGAGTCAGTGTCTAGCATGGTAAAAAGGGCCCAGTAAGCCTCTCTGCTCAAATGGAAATGATGTATTCAAAAGCACAGCTGCTTGGCCCTAGCATGATATCAGGTACATGTGAAAAAGTGGCAGCTACTGTTTGCGGTATGAACTGAATAGCCCATTTCACTGCCTGAAGTAAGGTCACTGGCTCAAAAGGGCCCTCGGTTCACAGTCGTTTCCCTAAATGTCTGGGCCAGGGTGCTGGCGTGTTTAGGTAAGTTAACAGCTGGTGGGATCTGTGGGCTGCCTCTGCTACCATTCCACCAAGCATGAGCGTTGTAAAACCAAAAGCTGAAGTGGTTAGTATACTCAGTGCAGTGGGCAGAACTCAAGGGAGTCATCCTCACCCTGAACAAAATCAGAGCCCTTGGTGAAATGTAATCATTTATACTGATGTTTGTGCCATTGCCAGTGGTCTACCTGTTTGGTCTGCCACTTGGAAGACTACAGATGGGCAGATTAAAAATACCACTCTTTCAGGCTTGCACACTGTCAAAGTAATTTGCAGTTGCCCATCTGAAGGTCTGGCTTACTCCTATAGATGCACATATTCTAGGCCTGTTCCCTGGTAAGTCTGAATAGAGACAAGCTGACCATGCCAAGACTGTGTGAGGCCCTGACTGCTCTTTGCCATGGCTTTTTCCCAGGGTGTTTTCAGTGGGTGACTTTGAGGAGTAAGTTAATATTCCCCCTGGGACAAAGGGCACCCTATTTACTGCTCTTTATTAAATGATGGGTTTCCCACACTCAGTGTTCTTTAAGTGCGATCCATACCCACTGCCTGTGTAAAATGCTTGCGGGTCCATCTTCTCCCTATGGAATGTGGGACCATGGGGAACCCATGTAAACATGCTAATGCTCATGTTGCTTGCTGTGCACAATTAATCAAGTTCTTTGTTTCTGACTCAGAAGTCTTCTGTCTTTTGCC